TAGCCTTCGTCAAGAAGTAACAGTCTCATAATCAGAACATCGTAGTCCTCATCTATGTTACTGAAGCGCTATCGTCTATGGACTGAAGCTATGTTATGTTACACGAGATATAAAACATACTTCAAGGCCTTTCATTCATGATAAAGTGTACAGTTACATAGGTATTTGATTGCCGCTAGGGCACCTAAATACAACAATAAAGGTTATGCATAGATTAAGGGCAAACTTTTTCTAAAACTAACTCTTATTCAACACATAAACTATGTTGAAAAGAAAATTGCATTTATTAAGGGGGAACATTTTTTTAGTCTCAAATCAATCCTCCTATGCATAACCCCGTCTTGTTTGCCATTATCAAAAAGGGGGAAATTGTTGAAACACGGGTTTATCACGTTTTCGTACTAAAGCCGTGTTTGTTTTTATGACAGGTTTTGATAATGCCAAACCGCCGTGAACGAGACAAGTCGTTGAATATACAAGGCGAAGAACGAAGATAAGAACAAGAGCTAAAAGAAGACCAAGAACGAAGACCGTAGTCTTAGTATTGTTGAGTCGGTCACAATTGTGATCAAGACCGACCAAAATCTCACTGTTTGGCTCTTTACGCTAAAATCTATTTTTGCATTTATAATATCATAAAAATGTTTTTCAAACTTGTTCAAGACATTAAAAACACTTGGTGTTCGCCCAAACCAAAAACCAAGCCATCCGGCGTTCGGCTTTCAGAAACCGGCGTTCGGCATTTGGTTTTCGGTGTTGGTTTTTGGCGTCCGAACCAACCAAGTGGTTTTCAACATTTTATGATTGGTTTTTACTTTTTGGAATGTTTAAAAATTTCTCCAACAAAAACATCTTAAAAACACCTTTCAGTTTTGGTCGTTTGGCAAAAACCACGTAAAACGGCATAAACTTGGCTAGCCGTGGTTTTTACCCAAATGACGTGGTTTTTAAAATGTCTCACTTGATTTATTATCCAAATACATCAAATAAATGTTTTAAACACTTGGTTTTTATTTTGGAGAACTTTGGATTTTTCGGTCGGTTTTTGCATCGGTTGGCTAGGCCGTGGTTAAGGCAAAAACCATGGGTTTTTGGCTAACCACCCACCCAGCGATGGGAAGAACTTCCCATCGATGGGTAGGCAGTCCTTCAGCCTAACCAAGTTCCAGAACCATGCCAAACAGCGATGGGAAGTTTTACCTATCGCTGTTAAAGCCTTGGTCCAACATCTTCACAAGGCAGATTGACCTTACCCAGCGATGGGGAATCTATCCCATCGATGGGAACACAGTGATGGTAAGGGTAAACCATCGATGGGAAGGCATGACCGTTGCAAGTCATTTAAGGCTGATTCTTTCCTTGTTTGAAAGTCAACCTCCCACCGAGCGATGGGAAGCATTTACCCATCGATGGGTAGGTGACCGTTGGCTTCAAAACTGAAGGAAAATTGGCCTACCAGCGATGGGTAATGTCCATACATCGCTGGGAAGCCAATATCCTGCAGATCCCAAATTTATTCAATCCCATAAATCAAGCCAATCACCCCTTTAATGTATTGGTCCGTTGGAGCCTATTTTGGCACTATAAAAAGGGGTGTTTGGGTCTGCTTTTCATATCAAATTCACTTCACATTACTCACATTATCATTACATCCAAACAACATCTTTTTCCATAGCTTTCTAGAGCCAATTTGTGTGAAGTTTGAGTTGTTCTTGAGCGTATATTTTACTCAATATCTACTCTTATAGAGAGTCTTGTTCTTGAGTGTTTTTAGTGTTGTATACACGTTAAGGGGAAGCTTGTTTCCCTTGGTTGCACGAAGGAAAGGGATTTTCCTTTGGGTTGAAGTTTTGGAGTTCGGTATCTCCGAGCAAGTGTTGTTGAGGCTCGTGGGACTCGAGTTCTCAGGTTGTAACGGTTTGTTAAGCACCCGTAAGCTTAACGGAAGTAGTGTAGCTCAAGAGAGTCTCTCGGGAGACTAGATTAGCCACACGTTGTGGTGAACCAGTATAAATCTTGGTGTGCTCCCTTTACGCTTTCTACGCTCTTTACATTTCACGTTCTTAATTTTTTTCTCCGGCGATTTCTACGATCAAACGCTATTCACCCGTGTTGGAACACACTTTGTACGATAAACTAAAGTCGTGTTCATTTCTGACAGGTTTTGATAATTGCCAAACAGCCGTGGATATAAAGAGTTTCGTTGAATAACTCAAGGCGTGAAGAATGGCTTGGAACAAGACCTAAAAGACTCAAGGACAAGATCAAGAATTGAAGACTTAGTCGAGTCGGTCTTTTGTGATCAAAACCGACAATAAATTCAAGTCTCGGTTCTCAAAAAGTCAAAACAATTTTTACAAATCACAAAATATTTTTTGTGCATCAAAACAAACATTTTTGATGATTTCTT